GGGAGTTGGAGGTTGCTGTGAGCTGTGAGGCCACAGCACTCTACCCAGGGGGACAGCTTGAGGCTCTGTCTCAAAAAATAATAATAATAATAAATAAAGAAGATAGGATAATGGATAAAATAAGAAAACTTTAGCTTGACCTGACCATAGGTTGAAATAAAGCCTAAGTAGAAGGCCCTTGAAGTTTATGGGAAGATCATGAAATTTAATGCGGAGAAATACACATCTTTGATGTTCTTTGAATCAGGGAAATATCATCAAGATGAAAGATATACTGACTCTATCTGGGCAAGCATTTTGTTGGCACCACGCTCTAACCAGCTGAGATGACCAATTGTGTTACACTAGACAGGTATTTTAAAATAAAGCTTTTCAGTGATACCTTTTCTTTTGGATAAAATAAAGTCAGAAGGATACTATCTAAGATATTTAAGACAATATGTCACATTCAAATTATGTAACTATTACATATAAGTAAATGAGTTTAGATCTGCGATCATTGTTGAATTAAGTAGCTAATCGTAAGCAGTTTTATCTGTTTTTAATTTTTATCTTTTTTAATCTTTCAAAAATTCTATAATTTAAAAAATCTTTTTTTAATCTAGTTTTTTTGTTTGCTTGTTTTTTGTTTTTGGCTGGGGCTGGGTTTGAATCTACCACCTCCAGTATATGGGGCCCAGCACCCTACTCCTTTGAGCCACAGGAGCTGCCCCTTAAAATCTAATTTTTAAAGCCGGTTCCTCACAAATCTCACCTTAGAGAAATAGTAAGCATTTTAGATATATGTGAATTGCCACATAAACTCTAAATAAATTGCATTTTCATAAACGTGTTCTATGATTAAATAAAGTTATATTTTTCTGGATTAATCTCTCCTGCATTGGTCACTTGTGCATGCTATGCCTTCTCCTGCTGCTCAGGGGACATATCCCTGCCCACGGCTTCCTGCGGAAGACGTACACTGACGTGACCAAATCTGTACTCCATGACCAAGCCCAGTGTGCTGAAGAGACCAGCGCGGGGTACCCGACCCAAGGGCAGCCAGCCCACAGGCTGGTTTAACCCAAGAGGCGGGCTGATGCCAATAAACGCCCAGTCAGGGACAGGATGATCGGCTGGACCAATCAGAGCCCCTCTCAGGAATCTGAAGGGATGACATTTGGGGAGAGAATCAGTCGGTAGTGGGTGGATAAGTGAAATACCCACAAAAAGCAGCAGAAACTCTTCATTAGGTATCAAGGTGGCTCAGAGGGGTTGTGAGGTGGGGAGGGGACAGCAAGCTCCTCCCAATGCCTGACCGTGCTTAACCTCCAAAGGCCGGCTGAGTGGCTGGACTGCGTTTCCTGAGTTTTGTCTCCTTGTCCTATGTAACCTTAAAATAGAACTCGATTTCTGCAACAGCCTGAATGAGACACTTGCCACCTATCACCCCCCCCCCAAATCTAACTCACATATAGTCTAAAATTTGGTTAAAACTGTGGTGTAAATTTCAGTACAAACCAGTTCAATTTTACCTTTGCTAGTTTTAGGGAATACATTTTGGGAGACAATATTAGACCATTGTGTATGGCTTCAATGGGTTCTTAAAAATTTGTTAGCCAACTCTACAGAAACATCTCCTGCTTGCAAAACAAAATGAACCAAAATTATGTCGAAGGCATCACTGTCATCACTATTGGGATGAAACCAGGAGGACCAGAGATAAGGGTTTTCCTGTGGAACAGATGCACGGTCACATGGCTTGCTTCCAGTCTCTGAAATTAGGCTCTTGGTGGGGGATGCCACCTAATGCATTAGCCAAACACTTACGTAAGGCTTAAACTTCTTTTTTCCCCAATTTTTCATTGCCCGTAGGGGCAGAAGGTATAATGTTTTGGTCATTACCCAGGTCTGGGATTGTGCTGATATGTTGCTTGGGGCACAGATTTTAAAATAGAGCAGCTAATTTTAGGGTAGCAGAAAAGGATATGAAAACATCGGAACATTGTGTAGAGGGTGAGCGCTTGAACAGGAGTGGGAAAGCTGGTTCTGGTTTTGGTTCTGCGGCTAATAAGCCACGTTACACTGGGCAAGTGTCTCCTCCTTCTCTGTAAAACAATAGAACTGTGTTCCTAAAATTCTCTGCATTGTATTATCTGCCCCCTAAAAATGGAAGCTCGGCCAAAGCAGTGTTATCTGCCTCGTCTAAGGCCGAGTCCCAGAATGGCTCCTGGTACCTTGCAGACGCTCAGGACATATTTGCGGCTATTGAATAATTTATGCTGCACTTTGTCCATTGAAAAGGCTCTCTGACATATATAGAGCCTTAGTTATTCTGAAAGTGTTTTCACCTAGCAGTCTGAAATCTCTCATTTGTTCCCAACAGGAAATATACCTTATGTGCTAGTAAAGAAATATAATTTTGGATAAGCCTCTTAGAGGGGGAAGAAGGTGGAGGATGAATCAGACCCTAAGGACCCTCCTGGAAGCCAACTTCTGACTCTGGTCCTGTTACACCTGTTACATGAAACAAATGAGTATTAAGGACAAGTGAAACCATTGAAAAGAATGTGTGTCTGCATGAGGAACAAAGGCCAGACAATTAGTGCACAGGCACCAGCTTATTAGAGGCATCAAGACAGGCAGACTGTGCTTTTTATGTTTACCACTTAAAACCATTTATGAGCATCAGCTGGGTGGCTCTGCCTTTGCTGTTAATGGTTCAGCAAAGCAGGTCACTGCCCTCACCATGCCTGCTGCTGTGCTACTTTTCATGGGTTGGTAACATTGTGAGAGAGAGCCTGCCAGCTTCCAAGTCCACGGAAATATTTGTATTATTTAAATCGCTCACTTGTGATCCTAACGATTCTGCTATAACTTTCATAGAAAAATTTGGGCCAGGCTCAGCGCCTGTGGCTCAAGTGGCTAAGGCACCAGCCACATACACCTAAGGTGGTGGGTTCGAATCCAGCCTGGGCCTGCCAACAACAATGATGGCTGCAACCAAAAAATAGCTGGGCATTGTGGCGGGCGCCTGTGGTCCCAGCTACTTGGGAGGT